CAGCAAAGCCAGGCCTGCAAAGGCCCGGCCTGCAAGGGCCAGGCCCAGGCGGCCGTGAAGAGCGTCCCGCAGCAGCAGCAGCAGCAGCAGCAATGCTCCAAGCAGAAGTAGGAGCCATCCCAAACCCCAAATCCTGCTTTTCCCACCTCGCCGGGCTCCCGGGAACGCCTGCGGACCTGCAGCCACCTGCTTCGCTCGCCAGGAATTACCTCATAACGAAATGCGCTTAATTAGGTTTAAAAAAAAAAAAAAAAAAAGTGATAAATGAGCGGCGGGGGATGGTTTTAATTCAGAGTTTAATTTGGGATGTGGTGCAATAAAAGGGTGGAATGAACTCGTGGTTGCTTCTCGGTGTTTTTGTTGGTGATTTTCTCCCGTTTTCCTCTTTTCTTTCTCTTTTATTTTCCCCTAAAATATCAACTTGAAGCACATACAAACCCCGGCTTTTGCAAGCTGAGCTTCCTCTCCACCTTTTTCAGGAGAAGTTGTTGAAAATCCCCACAACTTGATTTAAAAATTCCCCAAAACTTGATTTAAAAAATCCCCAAAACTTGATTAAAAAAATCCTGCAATTTGGTATGAAAATTCCCGAAAATTGGTATAGAAAATCCCACAATTTGATTTAAAAAATCCCCAAAGCTTGATATGAACCCTCCCAAAACTCAGTATGAAACTTCTCAAAATTTGATCTAAAAAATCCCCAAAGCTTGATATGAATCCCCCCAAAACTCAGTATAAAACTTCCCAAAATTTGATTTAAAAATCCCCAAAACCTGATATAAAAACTCCCAAAACTTGGTACAAAAATCCCCAAAATTTGGTACAAAACCCCCACAACCTCGTGTAAACCCCCCCACGACCAGTAACAAAAATTCCCAAATCTCGGTACTGAAAGTCGCTTTTATTGCGGAATTTTCACAGTGAAATAAATCCTGGATCCAACAGCAGCCGAAAACAATCAGGAGACCGAGTCCCAAACACCGACGGGTGGCGAAACATTCCCGGCTGGAATTCCTCCTTGATCCCGTCTGCGCCACGCCCGGGGTTAATCCCTTCCCAAACATGTCTGGAGTGGAGTTAATTATCCATAAATTTGGGTAATTACGGAATATTCACGGCCTGACCTGTTCTTTGACACCTCCGAGGAAATTCAAGGAGAGAGCGAGCTCGGATTTATCCTAAAATTCTTCCTTTCCCCTCTCCTCAATCCCAAAGGATTCTTTTAAATTCCACCAAAACCGGATCTATCCTAAAAATCTTCATTTTCCTCCCTCAGTCCCGAAGGATTATTTTTTATTCAGCACTAATTCCCGAATTTGGGAAGTTTTGAGCGTTTTGGCGGCAGATCCCGCACGAAATCTGATTATTTATAGAGAAAAACTTCCCAAATTCCAGGTGGGAGCTGGAAATCCAGAATGGGGGGAAAGACAGGAAAAAGGGGATGAGCTCTTCCCAGGATTTTGGGTTTTTTAACTTCACAAACCCCGCCTTGCTCCGTGATTTTTTTGGGGGGCTTTTTGGGGCATTCCAAAGCCTCGGGATTGGGGGAAAATGGCAGGAATTTGGGAAGGGGAGCTACAACCCTGCTGGAAAAGCATTCCCGACGGGAATTCCCTGCTGTTA